GGGGCTGGTGAGATGGCTCAGTGGTCTAAAGCACCTACTTAGAACAAGCTTAGCAAAGCACAGGGACCGCGGTTCAATCCCCCAGCACCACATGCCAGCCAGCCCGCCCCCTGGTGGGCTGAGCTGGCCACACACACACACACACACACACACACACACACACATTTAAAACAAACAAACAAACAAAAAAAAAACAAAAAAAAAAAAAGAAAAAGGTACTAATAAAAAGTAGAAATTGAAAAGAAATGTGTCTAAAATGCATAAATGCATTGGTCTAAGCAGTTAGCTTTCCCTGCTCCGTTCCAGCCTGGACCCATAGCTTCCCATCAGTGCAAACAGCAAACAATGAAATCTGATCATCTCTGTCACTGTCCACATTTTGCTGTGTCCTACCCTGCTGTGTCATCTTTTTTTTTTTTTTTTTTAATGTATGCAGTACAGGGTCTCACTTCATAGCTTGGACTGTTTTCTGCCTCCCCAGAGCTGGGATTACAGGCCTGCGTCAACCGGCCTGGTCACACCCAGCTCAGCAGGCCCCCAGGCAGGGCCTGGCCATGATTGAATCCTGAACTCCAGCCCCTGCGCTTGCCTGAGCAGGCACTTAGTCTGCTGAGCTATCTCCCAGCCCTACTGCCCCTCTCTTAAGGCTGCACACTGCTCTCCTCTGCGCTTACGCCAGCCCCGACGGAAGTGTGCTCAGGAGGTGGACAGGAAAGTTGCTCACAGCCTTTGCTGATGCTGCACCCACAGCCCCCAAGCTTGCTGTAAGGTGATACAGTATCCTTAACTCCTTTGGGAAGATACCCAGGAGGAGAGTCCCTGGGCCAAGTGCGAATTCTAGTTTTAGTGTTTGAGGAATCCCTGTCCCCTTGGGCATCGAAGGGGTGGACTCTGTGCTCAGCAGCACCGGCTGGCAGGAGCTCTGCGACTCCAGGACCGTGCAGTGAGCAGCAGGGATGAGCAGCTCTGCCTGCGTCGGTGTCACAATCTGCTGCTCGTGCGACAGGAAGAGGGAACTCAGCGAGGTCAAGCCACGTGCCCAGGGTCGCACCAGAGCCGGCCCCCACCCCACAGTGGGAGCTCCTTGCACCTGGGCTGGGCCTGGTCAGCACCTTCCGGCCCCCGGGGCTCTGCAGTGGCTGTGCCCTGTGCCGTGCACCCAGCTGCCCTCCCAAAGGGCAGCTCCTCTTGCCTCTCCCTCTGCGAGCACAAATTCTTACTGCACATCTCCACCACCTCTCAGGGTTGCTGGTCGCTGAGACAGTGCCAATGACCAGCTCCTGCAAACACTGTGGCCTGGACAAATATTAGCTGTGCTGTCACATGCCTGAAGGGCTGCACAGCCCATCCCTGCTCTGCCCTCATTGGACACGGGCAGTTTCCTGTGCTCAGGCCTCAGTTTCCTCGGTGCAGTGGGTAGCTCCTCACGTGCCTGGGGGTAGGATGGCTCTGGGAAGCTTTACTCACTTGTACTCCGACTTTTTCCTGGGCTCCAGGCCAGCGCTGCCCATGGGACCCCAAACTCTAACGTGGCCACTTTCTACCCAGGGAAGAACATACAGCATTAAGCCTAATCCTGTACTTTACATAGCCCAATATGCCAACTATTCTCCGCATGTAAACCACATAACAATTATTTTTTTTAATTATTTGTTTGTTTATTTATTTGGTACAGTGTATCACTGTGCAGCTCTGACTCACAATGATCCTCCTGTCTCAGCCTCCCCAGCTCTGGGGTTACAGGTGTGCACCACCACACCCATTTTCAGTGGTCCACTCGGTGCACCCAGGGCAGGGCCAGCATGCATGTGGTACCAGGGATCAAATCCGGGTCCTTGCACTTGCCAGGAAGGTGCTTAGCCCGCCAAGCCGCCTCCCTCACCCCCCACTATAACAATTATTAAGGACTCATTTCACCTATTTTTTCTTTTTGGTTTTTTGTTTGTTTGTTTGTTTGTTTGTTTTTTTGGCGGAACCGGGGATTGAACTCAGATCCTTGCGTTTGCCAGTCAAGCGCTTATCCTACTGAGCCATCTCCCCGGCCCCTCACCTATTTTTTTCTTGTTCGAGCTCTTCAAATAGTAACGTATATTTTACACTGAATAACTAGAATTATCAGATAAATACAAGCTAGCCTGGCACAGTGGTGCATGCCTATAATGTCAGCACTCAAGAGGCTGAGGCCGGAGGTTCTCCATAAGTCGGAAGCCATCCTGGGCTACACAGTGTGTCCAAGGCCACCCTACACTACATAGAGTGAGATCCTGTCTCAAAAATTAATTAATTAAAAGAAAACACAGACTACCTGAGAAAATTTGGCTTGTAAGTCAGTCAGAAAAACCCTGTAGTGTAAGTATGCCCCAAGTTCTACAGGGGGCACACTACTCTGCAAACTCACTTCCTGTGGGCCTGACACAGATTTCCCTGTATGTCTCCAGCTTTCTGCCCCCACCAGCCTACAGCCAGCTTGTCCAGAATGGCAGGGCTGCCCTTCCGGGGCCACCGGCCCTGGGGGTAAAGGGCCCCGGCGCCCCGGACTGCCGCGAATCCACCACCAAGCCCTCTGCTCTGCTCAGCCTCCAGCCTTGCGCTGCGCCTGCTTTTCACACTGTCTGTCTCGTCTAGATGCAGCAGCTTGGTAACTGTTTCTAGAATTCTCCATTAGGTAAACAGAGCTGGGGAGAAAGTCCACATCTCGCCCACAGTTCTTCGCATCAGCAAATTCTCCATATCAACAAAAGCCAGATAAGGAAGGGGTCAGGGCAGCCCGCAAGCCAGGAAGCTCCGCCAGGCGAAGCCCCTCCTCCCCTGCCTGGCAAGCACAGCTGGGACAGAGGTCTGGGGAGCCTGTGCCAGAGGGCCATGCGCAAAGGACACTGGGGAAGCTTTATTTCAAAACTCCTAGGACTGTAAGGCAGTGACAGCCACGTGTAAGGCCCAGTGACTTTGGATCCCCAGGGCCTGGGCAAAGCTCACAGTCTGCAGCACGCAGGGGAGGAGGCAGGGGTGGCTGTCCCTGGTTGGCTGGCCAGGGGGCCTGTGACCTCTTCCTGCACCTAGGCCCTGCCAGTGTTCAAGCACATGTCAGCCCCCACCCCCTCCTTCAGGTGCACTACTGGCAGGTTCCTGCGGCTGCCCTGCAGCCACCAAGCAGGACCAGGGTGAGAAGGGTGAGGCGTTGCCTGGGGCTCAGAATTTAAAGGACAGGCAGGAGCACAGCTTGGCAGTGTGCGTCAGGTTTTGTTTTGTTTTGAGACAGGGTCTCACTATGTAGTGCAGGCGGGCCTTGAACTTGTTTCTGCAGCCCAGGCTGGCCTCAAACTCCTGGCGATCCTCCTGCCACAACCTGCTGAGTGTGAGGACAGGCATGTGGACCCTGATAGGTTCTGGCCCTAGCATGAATTGCTAAAATCATCATGGTGGTCCTCTAATATGGCAAAGGCCATCTTCCCCAAGACCACCTCTCCCTTCTTCTCCAACTTAGCCCAGGACATAATTTCCTTCCATCCTTCCTGCCGCCCCAGGGAAGACCCCAATCAGCCCCTCAGGAATATCTAAACATCCCCCTCAAGCCCCCCCACCCCCCACAAAAGGCCTTAGAAGCCTCAGCCTCCCTCGGTTCCAATCAAGAGAATTCCTTCTCTTCCCCCAATTCTCTCCCTGTCCTCAAGGAAAATAAAGCCCCTTTCCCCTTTTCCTTCTGCCTGTTTCTCTGCTGCACCGATCACCTGAAAACACCTATCAGACCCTACCTGGCTGTTTAAAAAAAAAAATTGGGGGGCTGGGTAGATTGCTCAGCGGCCTAAGTGCCTGCCTGGCAATCACAAGGTCCCACGTTCAATTGGTGGTACTGAAAAAAAAAAAAAAAAAATTGATAAGGATCTTGCTGTGTAACTCAGATGGCCTCAAATTCATGTCAATCCTCCTTCCTCAGCCTGTGCACCACCACACCCAGCTCATGCAATATTCTTAAAAATCAAAATTCATGAAAAAAAAAAAAAATCCAGGATGGATAAAATAACAAATGTGTACCTGAAACCAGGACTGGCGGTCCTGGCTTTGTGTTTCCGGGGAGGAGGTGCCAGACTGTATTGTGGGTCCTTCTTTAACATCTTAATGCCTCATCCTGGCCTTTTCTGCACTGACTTTAACTTTTTTCAGAAAACTACATCAAAATGTTATCTTCTTGGCTGGGGAGTCTTGGCTTCTCAGAGTTTGCAGCCAAAGTGAGGGCTCTGCCCCCACCCTCAAGCCAGCTCTGGGTGGCCTCCTGCAGGCCTCAGGTACAGGTGTCAGAGCAGATGAGGTGACAGTGAGACCAACAGCAGAAAGTGGCTGTCCATGCACCCCACTTCCGCTCACCAACCACAGCAGAGACTGCGTGCCCCTGCCACAGCCCTGAAACCGCCGGCCGGGCCGGGTAGCACACCACGTGACTCAGATCCAGGCGTGAGGGGTGAGCAGAGAACAGGTCCTCGCCCGACCCTCACACCTACCCAGAGAGTCTTGCAGCTCGCCCTTGGGAGTGCCTGGCCACGCACGAAGTAGCAAAGTAGCGGAGCTGGATCACAGGACTGTCTTGGTCACAGGCTAGTGCTGGAGTGTGGTCTCCACCCCCTAGGGAGCTGGGAGCCCGGAGGTTCTTCCCACTTAAAGGAGTTGCTCAGTACCCCCAAAGTGTGCTCTCCTTTCCCCTTCAGCAAAGGCCAGGCCCCCCTCCCTGTGTCCATACCACCCCTCTGTCAGTGCGTCCTGTACCCCCCCGCCCCCCACCGCTTAAGGGATGGAGCCTGGGAGGGGATGGGGTCCTGGGCCGCTGTGCTTCCGGCTTCCTGGCAGTAGGCCCAGCCAGGGCCCTTTAAGGCAGACCCGGGGCGAGTTCATTCACCCGGGCCCCTGCTGACTCACGCTTATGAAAGTGTTTTCCTGGCCCCGCCCCCGCCCCGCCTCCTCCCAAGCCGTGAAATACCCGCCTCCCGTGCTCCTGCCCGAGTCACTGGCACCCTGTGAGCACAGCCTCCTAAGTGCCCGTCTAGGCCAGGCCCACGGGATGCCCTCCACCTGCTGCCCGCCAGGTAAGTTAGTCTGCACAAGGCTTCAGGGTGGGAGTTGGTGGCCCACAAGTAGGCGTGGCCGGCCAGCCCGGGACACCACTGCTTGGCAGACTGCCGTCCTGGGTCCCCAGGCACCTCTTCACCATGCCCATGCGGGTGCCAGTCTGCCTCGCCCTGAACAGTTCTACCAACTGCTGCTGGGGCAGGAAGGAGGTGTGGCCAGTGGGCTCCATGCCCAGAGTCCAGAGGCCACCAGGAGTGCAGCTGGATCCCGCAGGCGCTGCCCCGTGGTGCCCACATCTCGGTGTAGGGCAGCTGAGCCCAGGGGGGACTTGGGACTCAGCTTCTCAGGGAAGGCTCCCAGGAAAGGAAGAGAGGTGGCCCCAGGGAGGGGGACAGGCACCTGGGGACTAAAGGCAAGTAGCCCTGACTGACAGCTGTGGCTTCTTCAGGCTGGACCTTAGGGCACTTCTTATTTTTCACAGATGGTGTTGCTAAGTCTCTGAATTGCCCTTTTGATCCTCCTGCCTCAGCCTCGCAGAGTGCTGGGATTGCAGGTGTGCACCGCCACACCTAGCTCAGGTCATTTTCTTGGTATAGCTTTTACCTGACACTACTCCCAGGAGACTTGTTCTTGGTGGGCACTCCCGGGTGACCAGGAGCAAGATCCCACCAGCTCCTGACATCAGCTTCCTCCTCTGCACAGTGGGGATAAGGAAGCTAACAGTGGGCATGGGCCTCTGCAGGCTCCCTCGGGGGTCCCACACTGCAGACTGCAGCTTCACCTGAAGGCACAACTGTTTGCATCGCATATGCTTATTTGATTGTGAAACTTGAGTCACTTTTAAGGGCAACATATTTTCCCAATATCTGCCAATCAGAGTGGACAAGGGATAACGTTTAAAATGGATCACTCCCACCAGGTGTGGTAACACACATCCATAATCCCAGCACTCAGAGGCTGAGGCAGGAGGATTGGAAATTTGAGCCCAGCCTGTATAACTTAGCAATTTAGTGAGACCCAGTCTCAAAAGCCCCCCAAAAATTTACAGGCTGGGGCTACGACTCACTGTGAAGGCCAGGTCCACAAAAGCGAGTGTAGGAGGAACTGGGGTAATGAACACTGGAATGATCCTGTCACTGTAAGTTCGAGGACTGCATTTGTCCAAGGCTAAGAGTGAGAGCTTTCAGCTGCTCAGGACTGGGGGATGTCCTGTATCTCTGTACAGGAAGTGACCTCTCAGGTCCAGCCCCGGGTGGTGACCTCATGTGTGTGGCATCCAGAAGTTTCTGTTCAGCACTGATTGGGGCTGGGAGGGAACATGGATGTGGCCGAGCCGTTTTAAATCCGCACCTCCCCTCGGCCCCGGTGACAAAGGACACTGGTTTTGACTCCTCCCTGAAAGCAGGGTTCTGCAGCACCTTCTTCCTTGGGGTGGGGAGTAGCAGGGCTTGGGGGCAGCTGGGACACTCACTTCCAGGCAGGGGCTTGCGGGTGTCTGACTGGGTTGGGCTCGCAGGGATCAACTGCGAGAGCACTCAGCCACTGGGTAATGATTGCCTGGTTAGGGTGTGCAGCCGCTCTGAACCCAGCCAGGCCCGTGGACTGCAGTCCTTTGCAGTTACTGCTACAACTGCTGCTGTTGGTGGGGTCACCCCAGAGGGATGGACAGCATGGGCCCAGCAGGATCACTGGAGGCCCCCTTTCCTCTCCAGTGCTGGGGACTTGGCCAGTGTTGGATATAGGAGTTTATGTCACTCTCCACACCAGAGATCCCACACTGGCCTTGCCGGGGTTTTGCTGGCCTGTGAAAGATTTACAAAAAGATTTATAAATGCTACCCTCTTCTGATCAGCACGGGAGTTTTGACCCGCCCTGTTTCTAACATGGGCTGGTTCACCCCTCCTTAGGCAACCTAGTGGTCCCCCACTCCCAGGAGGTCACCATATTGATGCCGAACTTAGTGCAACACCCAGTCAGCATAGCACACTGCAGCCTGGAACTCCTGGACTCAAGCAATCCTCCTTCCTCAGCCTCACAAGTAGCTGGGACTACAGGATGTGCCACCACACCTGGCTGGTACCCACTTCTAACAACTCACACCAATTCACAGTTCTGCCTGTACTGGAGGAGCCCTGTGGGACCGAGGCCAGTGACCCTGGGTCCCACACTGGCCACTTGTCCACTCCCAAGTGTGCGACCTCCTCTGCCAGCCCTGCACATCTCCTCTGGGGACAGACCAGGCGTCATGGTGGCCACAGGCACCTATGAGCTCTGGGTTCAGTGACGCCCATGCAAAATCCCAGCACTGGGGGCCAAGGCAGGAGTACTGAAAGTTCCTAACTGAACAACGTAGCAAGACCTTGTCTCAAAAGGTGGGCATGGGGGGTGTGCGCATGCCCTGCTGGATAATTCAGCTCAGGGCAAAGCTCTTGGCTTCCATCCCCAGTACCAATCAGTAACACAGGCCATGCCATGGCTGGCTCACAGAGCACCACTCACGCCTGCGCAGTGGGATAATCACGCCGGTGGTGCCCGTGGCACTCTCCTGCAGACGGGAGACTCCTGTAGAATCAGGGTGGGACAGCAGTAAGAAAAGCTATCAAACACCCGCTCACAGGTCACTGCTCAGTGGCGCTGCCCCTCACTGATGCGTGGGAGTCACCTGTGGGCCCAGAGAGCAGGACTGTAGTGAGCTGTGCCCCTGGTAACTGCCCCCGAAGTGTAGAGAAAGCAGAGCGTGTTCCCTGCCAAGGACTGGTCGGGTCCCTTGCATGGTTCAGACCCGTGGCCAGCAGGGGGCGCCAACACCTCGCAGAGAGGCAGGTTCCCAGGCAAGGCCTCCGCTTCCCTGTCTCTGAGTCCCTGGTGTTGGACCCCTGGGCAGTAAGCCCAGGCCTTTCCTGTGAAGCCTCACCCACCGCAGGCACTCCACCGTGCTCCTCAGGAACCTCAGAGGCCAGGAGGCCAGAACTCATTATCCTCACCTGACAAATGTGGAAACCAAGACTCGGAGCTGTCCGGGACAACTAGGGAGCAGCTCACAGGGCTGGAGACAACGGCCTGCTCTACCATGCTGTGCTAGAAGGCCTGAGGCCAGGGCTGTGGTGGGCAGAGACAGCCTCCTGGGAAGGCCAACAAGCTCCCAGGCACCACCCTGCCCAAGGGCACGGTGGGCAGCATAGGACAGGGTGGAGATGGTGGTGCAGGTTCACCTGGCCAGCAGGGAAGACGAGGCTTGGGAAGCTCAGGGAGGGGCAGTGTCTCACCTCCTGGTTGCGGGGATCCACAGGTCAGAGGAGGAAAGGTTTCTTTTAGCTCACAGTTTGTGGAGGTTTCAGCCCATTGTCAGCTGGCTGTAAAGCAAAGGGCCACAGCTGAGCGGAAACAGCCCACGCGAAGGCAGGGAGGCAGCAAAGCAGTGAGCACCCCTCTCGTCCCACCCAGGCACAGGCCTGCTGGGAGGTGCCACCCCCCCAGTGTGGGCCTTCCCATTATTCATGCCCAGAACCACGCTAAAGCCGTCAGGGGACCCAGTCAGTGCTCACATCCCCTAATCCAGCGTCACACACCCATGGTCCAGCCACCTCTGAAAGTCCCACCGATGACCCCACAAGGCTTTGGGGAGACATCTGGACATAAGCTATGCCAGGGAGGGAGAAGGCAGTCACACTGTGGTCAGCCCGGGAGCTCAGAGGCCAAGAGCCTGACCTCTCCTCCGTTTCTCCCAGGCCAGCTGTCAGCCCCAGCCATGAGCAAGCCCAGGAAGGCCCGGGTGGGCACCAGCAGCTCAGAGCCCCTGCCCGTTGTCATCATTGGTGAGTGTCCCCCAGGGGGTAGAGGGGACACACACTGGGCTCTGAAGTCATCGGCAGCAGGGCAGGCTGGCATGCAGCAAGCTGCCAGCAGCGGTTCATGCCATGCTTCCACCACTGCTGTGGCGCTTGGCACACACTGAGGACTGAAAAACAATTTCTTTTGCATGGGTGAAAAATAAATGCATGGATGAGCACCCACCAGGGCTCTGAGCGAACGCTGTCTCTGCAGGCAATGGGCCCTCGGGCATCTGCCTGTCCTACCTGCTCTCAGGCCACATGCCCTACGTGAAGCCAGACGCTGACCACCCACACCCACTGCTGCACAGAAAGCTGGCTGAGGTTTCGGGGTGCTGCCTCCTGGACCAGGTGGGTTCCTGACCCCCAGAAGGCACCCCAATGCATGTGGAGACCCATGCAGCACAGGGGCTCGTGGAGTTGGCCCCATCCTGGAATCATGAGATCAGGGCACCCCAGACCCACAAACACCAAGTCATGGTCCTCAGCTGGGGCCACTTCCTCTCCAGGAACACCTGGCAGCTCTGGGGTCCTGGCTGAGGCAGCAGTGGTGCTGGACTACTGAAGGGGGCAGCAAGGGCCCTGCAGTGCTCATCGATCCCCTCCCACCCTGAGCCAGGTCAGGACAAGACGCAGGCCATCAGGCTATGTTCTGTAGGACACTGGCTCCTCCGTGCCATATGCACGGGGGACAGTCCCACTCCAGGCAATCTGGGGGACACCGGCTCTGGTAAGTGTCAGCTGCAGGACTCGTCCAGCCTTCAGCATGCAGTACACGTCTCCTGGGAAAAGGCAGCATGCCCCACCCGATGCTAGCACGGAAGTACCAGGCAAGGCCAGGGCTCAGGGCCCTTCCTAGCCCCCATGCAGCCAGGAGCATCCTGGTGAGACCAGATCCCCCAACCCAGTCCCTACCTTTCTGCCTGCCCCTTTCTCCCTAACCCAGACCCTCTCTGTAGGACCTGGATTACCTGTCTGAAGGCCTTGAAGGCCGGAGCCAGAGCCCCGTGGCTCTGCTTTTTGATGCCCTCCAGCGCCCAGACACAGACTTCGGGGGCACCGCAGACTCTGTCCTCTCATGGAGGCGGCAGGAGGAGCGAGCAGTTCCCCACCTGGTCTTGGGCCGCAGTCCGCCTGGGGGCGCCTGGCATGTGAGTGGGGCCATCTGGGGCTCCCTGCCCACCCTCGCTGGCTTCTGCTCCCCTTCCTCGAGCATTCTCATCTCCCTGCCTGGGCCCAGGGCTGGTCCATGCAAGGCCCAGCCCTGAGGACCCCTTGCCTTGCAGGCCATCGAAGGCTCCATGGTGACCCTAAGCCAGGGGGAGTGGATGGGGCTGCCAGACCTGCAGCTCAAGGACTGGATGCGGGGGAAACGCAGGTGAGATGACTGGGGAGCAGAGGAGCCCTTGGGAGGGAAGGCTGGGGTGCAGGGGAAGACAGGCTCCTGGAGGAGTAGGAGTGAACTCGGGGCAGGCTCCCAGGCCCCTACCCCTGCCTCTGCCACAGAGCCTCAGCCTCACGTGTGCAACACCCCGCCTTTAAGGAGAGCCCGGGCAGCCCTGCTCCATGCAAGTGCCTTCCCATTAGAGACCTGGCCACATCTTAGAGTCCTGGACTGGGCACAGCAAGAACTGGAGCCCCCTCTGGAGGCCAGCGCTCCGGGCAGACACAGGACGGGTACATGCACTGTGCTCCAGCGAGGGCTTTGCTCCCAGGGGAAGCCGTGTCTTCTCTCCAGGCTGTGTCTTTGCAGGTTCGCTATCCCTGCGACACAAAGACCTGGCACCTGTGAGCCAGACCAGGCTACTCCATGGGTGTAGGGCACCGAGATGAGGCCAAGCAAGGGGCCAAGCCACCACCGAGCTGCCCCACAGCTACCACCGAGTCACCACCCAGCTCTCTCCTTCTGATTTTTTATTTTAAATTCTGAGGCTGTCTCACTAGGTTGTTCTCCTGCCTCAGCTTCCCAGAGTGCTGAGAATGTGGGTGCAAGGCACCACCCCTGACATTCAATGTTTTGTTTTGTTTTTGGATTTTTAAGACAGGGTCTTGCTTTGCAGCCCAGGCTGGCCTCAAACTCATCACAGTCCCTCTGCCTCAGCCTCCCAAGTACCAAGATGGCAGGCATGCGCCACTACACCCAGCTTAATGGAACATTTGTAAAGTCAGCCTTTAAACTGAAATACAGTATCCATACGAAAAAGCACCCTGCTCCTGCACACAGGCTGCCTGACTTTGCCTGTCCCAGGAGTTTAGAAAGATGGGTTCACACTGTCCACAGGCATTAAGTCCCCATGTGGTGACCAGGATGGCTGACCCACCTGGCCCCTACCACTCAGGGGCCATCCTAGGCCTCTAGTACTCAGTGGAGCCTCATGATAGGGTCCTGCCAATGTCATTCCTCTGGTTTCACAATAAGGAAACTGAGGCACAGAAGCCTTGGCTGCAGAGCCCTGGCTGAAGCCAGCCAGCTCTGGAGGCTGCCCTCAGCCCCTCCTCGTTTCATCCCCCAGGTGGGGGGCACGTCAGCACCGTTGCACCCCACTTGCCCAGCCCGGGTGTTCACTGGCACCTCCCCTCTTGCCCTCCCACAGAGGTCTTCGGAACAGCCGGGCCACAGCTGGGGACATTGCCCACTACTACATGGACTATGTGACCCAGAAGGGTCTGAGCCACAGCTTCGTGTCGGGTACCCTGGTCACAGGCGTGAAGATGGAGACCCCTGAGTCCAAGGACCCCAGGCCCCTCTTCCGAGTGAGCGGCACCCTGACCACTAAGGACCGGGGCCAGCGGCCCTTCTCTCTGTGGGCCCGGAATGTGGTTCTTGCCACGGGCACATTTGACAACCCAGCCCGGCTGGGAATCCCAGGTGAGGACCTGCCCTACATCCACCATGAGCTGTCGGCGCTGGAGGCAGCCACACGGGCAGGCACCATCACCCCAGCCTCGGACCCTGTGCTCATCGTGGGCGCGGGACTGTCTGCAGCCGATGCGGTGCTCTATGCCCGGCACTGCGGCCTCCCTGTGATCCATGCCTTCCGGCGGCCAGTGGACGACCCGGCTCTGGTGTTCAACCAGCTGCCCCAGATGCTGTACCCCGAGTACCACAAGGTGCACCAGATGATGCGGGAGCAGTCAATCCCGTCACCCAGCCCCTATGAGGGCTACCGCAGCCTCCCCCAGCACCGGCCACTGCTCTTCAAGGAGGACCGGCAGGCTGTGCTCTGCGATCCACACGGCCATCACCAGGTCCTTGGCGTTTCCCTGGTTCTGGTCCTCATTGGCTCACACCCTGACCTCTCCTTTCTGCCAGGGGCAGGCACCAACCTCGCCACTGACCCTGAGCAGCCCCTGAGTACTAAGAGGAACCCCATCGAGGTGGACCCCTTCACCTACCAGAGTACCCGCCAGGAGGGCCTGTATGCCCTGGGCCCCCTGGCTGGGGACAACTTCGTGCGATTTGTGCAGGGTGGGGCCCTGGCTGCGGCCAGCTCCCTGCTGAGAAAGGAGACCCGAAAGCCACCCTAGTGCCTAGCTGGAGCTCTGGCACCCAGCCCCTGATAGGAAAGAGATCATGCAGTCCTGGAGCAGACAGAACCCCCGAGAGGGAAAGAGACAGGGACCAGAAGATGCAGAATGGAAGACACAGGCTCCAAGGCTGTGCAGGGGCTGCAGGCCACCCATGACTGGGCCTGGGATCTGGGGGAAGCCCTGAGGGAGCAGGGTCCCTGGGGTCGGTGCAGTGACCACCAAGACAACGACCGCTCCATCCCTTCCAGAATCAGTTCCCAAATAAAACCAGCATTCGCCTCTACCACATCTGAGGACTGTCCTTGGGTGGGTGGGTGGGGATTCCTGGAGGAAGCGTCTTGGGCTGGAGGATAAGGGCGGGGCGGGGAAACTGTGCTGGTGGGGTGGAGTGGCCTCTCTACTCGGCTGGCCTGTCCTGCTTGTCTCGGGCGCAGACATTGCCGCGGCCTGCCTGGAGCCTTCACACAGGATGGCTGCATGAGGGACGCTCATGCTCCGTAACTCCTCTCCCGGCCACAGCCTCCCCTCTGGTGGGTGGGGCAGCCCCTCCGTGACTGGATGGGATCAGCCTGACTCCTGCATTTAGACATGGACTCCTTCCAGTGTCAGCCCCAAGAGACCAAGGACTAGGTCTCTTCTCATCACTGTCACCTAGACCCGGTGCCCGGCAGCAAGCTTGGTGCCCAGTGGGCTCCAAGGGACGCTCGGGGCGCTGAGGGCGGTTCCGAGCCGACTTGGGGCGCAGGAAGGAGCCCCGGCCTGGCCAGCAGAGGGCGCGCCGGGACCGCCGGACCCTGCGCTCCAGCCTGCAGGAGTGCCCTGGGGGCGGGGCTGCGGGGCACTTTCGGGGGCGACGGTCGGACCCCACCTGCAGCCCAAATCCTACGCCCACGGGCAGCGCCTCCTTGGTGGGCGGGGCGGGGTTCTGGGGTGGGGGGAACGCCGGGCACGTGGTTGGGGTCCAGCGAACCACCCCCCCAGCGTCCCCGCGCCGGCCGTCGTCCCGGGTGTCGGCGGCCACGGGGCCGGCGCGGGAGGCGGGGCGGCGG